AAAAAAAAAAAAAGTATTGATACAGATTGCCACAATTCTCAGTAATGGCCCAGTATTTTCCTTCATGTGCCATTGTAATTAAATGACACTTTTCTGGTCTTCCAAGTTAAACAAGCCCAATTCAGGAAACCCTGTTCTTGGCACTAGAAGGTGTTAATGGTCAAAATCGTGGAGTGCTTGTGTATTACTGTTTTCTCATTCCCTTACTCCCTTTCTTCCTCACCCCTTAGCTGTGCAGTGCCAGGATCTTCCAACTCCAAACAAGGTCCAGGTGAACTGTTCCCACCCCTTTGGCACCTTTCGGTTCCAGTCAGTCTGCAGCTTCACCTGTAACGAAGAAGGATTGGTCCTGGTGGGAGCAAGAGTGCTACAGTGCTTGGCTACTGGAAACTGGAGTGCTATTCCTCCAGAATGCCATGGTAAGAGTACGTTCTTCCCAGCACGTTGGAAATAAATTGTAGGTAGTATCTTCAAAGGTTTATTTAGAAGTGGAAACCATGTAGGGTCCACCTCAAAATGGACTGGAAAAGTAATAAATACTCTCAGTCATCCTTTTTTCCTGTAACCCAAGGATCCCGCATGCAAATGTCTTTAAGAGGCGAGCCAGATAATGCAAGAGTCAGGATGTTTGGTGATAGGGAATTGTCCTTGCTAACTCTTTACCACGGTCTTTTCAGGACCTGAAGTCTCCTAGAATGAGCCAGGCAAACTGTTCTCACTTGGCTAACAATAGTATCTAGAAAGAAGACCAGAAGGAGAAAAATAGCTTCAGGGATGTTGTCTGCATTGTACTTGATGCAAAAAAGCCAGTGTATTCTGTCAATGCTGTAATACCCTGAATGAAATAGAGCTGGTTCTAGTCATTTGTGTTTGTGAATTGAAAGATAAATGTATGCCTTTTTATACTTCCCATTCCTTTTTCCACAAAAATGTATCCATTTTTTAGTTATTTTTTATGGCAAATAGTGCTTTTAAAAAGTAAGATTTTCATTTATAAGAGCAACAGAAAAATAGGAAAATAGAGAAATGAAAAAAATATCCTCTTAAATATCCTCACCCTAAAATAGACACTGTTCTCATTCTGGTGTGAATTCCTCCAATATTTTTCTCATTCACTGTTCCCCCTATGCAATTAGTACTTTTGTGAAGTATATGCAATTTTAATAATAAAATTAAATGGGTAAAATACTAGATATTTCCACGTTACTTGCCTTTGCCTTTCACTTTGTACAGACTTAACATCTGAGTGAAAGCAGGCAGATACATGTTTTTTGTGAAGAGGAAACCACTTGCTATTCAGGTCACACACAAGCATGAGCACACGCACACCCACACTCACACACCACTGTTCAGTTAGGTCAACAGTGAATGAATGAATGAATGAACACACTCAGCAGAATGGGATGTCTTTCATCCCCAGGCACCAGAGAGGATGGTAGCCCCTGGAGTTGGGGTTAGGTGCACCTTCAGAGCTGGATCTGGAGAGGACAGGGTGGGGCCGTGACCTTGGCCCCTCAGCACTCATCCTGGCCACATTGAAGCCTGCATGTATATTACAAAGCCCACACAGCTTTGAGGAGGAACTTGGAATCCCTGAGGAGGCTAATCACAGGGATGAGAACTCTTCCAGGCAATCCTGGGCTGTGCAGGCCACAGGTTACAGTTCATCGCTCCATACAGTCCTGCCTGTGCGCATTTCACAGCAAGGAGCTTGCCACTCACCACGGCTTCCTGTGACCTTCCAGTTCCCTTCTGCTTTTAGTGCTTTGTTTACTCTGACTGAACTTTCTCCTCTTCTTACCGGGTGCACATCAAGTGAAATACCCAGATGTGGGCTGCACAGGAAGGTACCATGAGGCTTGCAATCCACAAGCTGTTGTAATACTTCCGAGAGAGTGTTATCAGCCAATTTCCCTTTTTAATGTCCCCCTACCCCTCCACACCCACTCCAGCTGTCAGAAGGCAAAGCCACAAAAGAGCTGGAAATGAACGCCGCAGCATTGAGGTCCTCACACACACCCCTTCCCCTGTTCGTCCTTACACTTTATAGCTTCTTGAGTTGTCTCCTCTCCTGCCCCACGTACACACTTAATACAGACTTTCCAAGTGACAGGAAATAACTAGGTCTTTGGACAGGTTGATCAGATTGACAAGAATGTGGCTGGAGAGGAAGGAATGAAGGGAAGAGAAAGGTACAGACAGTGCTCTCGAAACCTCAAGCCATTCAAGTCAGTGGCTGAAGAGTACCCCTTGCCCCGCCACACTCCCACCGTCTCCAGTCAACCAGGTCAAACAGTGAAGAAGACATGCCTCAACCATGTGTTCTCTTAGTCTTCGCTTTTTATTGGGAACATGTTTAACCTGGGCTTTATTGCTTCATTAATTGACAGAGGAACACCTTGACAGCTATTAACATTTGCATACAGAGTGTTTCCCACTTGATCCCAGTAAAAATCCTGGGAGCTATGTAAAGATATTGAGGCTCATAGAGGTTAAATGACTTGCCAAAAGACACACACCATGATCTCCAACCTGAGCAAGTCCCCTAGCAACTCAAACTCTACGCGTATAAACTGAGGCAAAGAACTGTAAGACTTGATATACCTTTTTTGTAAGTAAACAAGTAGTCATTTGTGGCCGGTCACTGTAGGATGAGACTGTTGGGAAGAGGTGGAAATTAGCATTTGCAGACAGTTAATTATATTAAGTACTTTGTGTTCATAATTTTTTACTGTATTCTTAAATTTCATTTTTACATATTATTTAATTAACTTATATAGCAGAGGATCCCTGCAAGGCAAGGATTATACTTTTTTCCATCAAGATGAAGCAGCTGAGGCTCAGAAATGTTATTGTCCAAAGATACATTACTGGTCAATAACAGAGCCAGTGCTTAGACCCAGGTTTCTTCCACCACCTGGTGGGGGAAAGCAGGAGAAAATATTTTGTTCCATTTTCCTATTTCTAATTGCTTGTCATTATTATCTGGTAAGGTCATTAGGTCTGTTTCTGAAGAAGGTATCAAGGGAGCAACCACTTCCATGCCTGTCCAGTGACAACCAAAATGAGTTGCTCCACTATTTTTCCAAATTGAGCACTGGCTGCCTTTTAAAATCACCTTTAAAGCTCTTTGTGAGTGTTTCAGGATATCAATCAACCATAAGCTACTGCTATCTTACAACCTCTAACTGGGGATAAAGCACTATGAAATTCAAACAATCGTTTTCAGCCGAATGCTGCTCCTGTCTATTAAGGAGGTAACACACACCCCCCACTGATTTCAGGTCGCTGAGTTCTAAAGTGATCTCTTCTCTCCTCCTCTGCTGTGCTCCTGGTAGCTATTACCTGCACACCTTTGCTAAGCCCTCAGAATGGAACAATGACCTGTATCCAACCTCTTGGAGATGCCAGTTATAAATCCACATGTCAATTTATCTGTGATGAGGGATTTTCTTTATCTGGACCAGAAAGATTGGATTGTACTCCATCTGGACACTGGACAGGCTCCCCACCAACATGTAAAGGTAGGCTCATGGTTCTGTCCTTCCTTATGGTTTTTCAGATAATGTTGTAGAATGAAGAATCATCAGAGAGTCATATAAAAGTGTTCTTGAACTAAAATAAACAACACACTCTCCCCAAAGCATAGTAATCTAAACCAAACTTTTTTCCCTCTCTATCTGAATGATCTTTTAATAACTTTAAACATTTCACAGTGTTATAATGTGCTTTTCTGTCATTATAGCTTTTGATGTTTACCACAACTCTGAAACAATGAGGAAAGGTACTATTACCTTAATTTTATAAATAAAGAGGAAGCTCAGGCTCAGAGAGGTTAAGTAACTTGTCCACAGTCACACCATTAGTAAGTGATGAAGCTCAGCTATGTCATTGAAACTTTTACTTCCTTATAAAGTCTTTTTCTGTTACATTATTTTTACACTCACCTTCACTGAGCACTAAGTCCCAGGTGCTAAGCTGATTCAGGGATGAATGTTTTTTAATTCTAGCATAACCACTTGTGCTTCTCTCCTCCCTCCACTTCTATATGGATTATAAGCTCCTTGAGGGCAGGATATATTCCCTGCAGCAACTAGACTGAGTAAAAGTGGGTGAGTGACAAATATCTGTTGAATTGAAGCTCACATTTACCAGTAGAATTTACTCTAGCACGAGACCAATTGACAGTGAGTAGTGGAATCCTCAAAGACAGGGGCCAGATCTTATCTCTCTTTGACTTTCCTAATGCATCTGGCTGTACAGTGTCTGGCATATTGTATGTGCTAAAATAGAAGTGCACTGAATTAATTCATAGCTCATGTTTAGTTTCAAAAGTCACCATTGTTTTGATTTATTGTTCAGTGTAGTCAGAATTAGTAATAGCTAATATTTATTGCTTGCATAGTAGCAGTATTTCATGGGCATTATCACATTCAGTCCACACAAACAACCCTTAAGATGATTATTACCATCTGCATTTTAAAGTTGAAGAAACTGAGGCATTGAGAGGATAAGTAGCTGGTAAAAGTCACATAGCTAGGAAGTATAGAGTCAGGATTCAAACCCAGGTTGTCTGAATGTAGGGCTGGTGTTTTCACCACTGTACTACACTGCCACCTAGTGGCTGGGCTTCTAAATCCCGGGTCAGTCACTTGAAAGTGTACTCTTTTCCAACGCACAGGTTGCAGCTATATGGGGTCTTCAAAAAGATCATGCAAAGATTTGTATTATCTTTTAGTTCCTGTTTTGTCATGAACTGTTTGAACTACACTCATAATTGCTGATATGAACTTTAGAAATTGCAGTACCTGGTGATCAGATGAGAGAAATCTGATAGAAATCTATTAGATTATATGTTATATGAAAAACAGCAATAAGCACTGGATTAATATCCAAAAACTATATTGATCTTCCCCTGAGTCATGTGCCCTTAAGAAAGTCTTGTCACAGCCTTAGGCTTCAATTTTCTCAATTCCAAAGGGAAAGGAATAGACAAGATCATCTCTGAGGTCTCTTCCCTGGCCAAGAATTCTGCAGGTTAAAGGACATAAAACACTACCATCTGCTGTCAGAAAGATATATTACAGGCGACCTGAGGATTCTAGGACATTTATGAGGGATAGCATTAGGGATTGTGCTTCATTGTTCATTCACTTATTTCTCAGGCTTCATTCGTTTATTCCACCAGCATTTATCATGAGCTCTATTTTCCAACATTCTGTTTGAAGGCTAAAGAATTAAAAAATACCTAAACCTTCTTTATTGAGGTTAAACAATACATGTAACCAACATGGTTGTTAAATCTGTCATCTCTGCAGCCCCTTTTTCTTTCCCCTCACTCTTTTCCAGCCCTCATCACCACAGGAAGAGGCATTTGCTTAGCTCCTTGTGGTCCCCAGCCCCAACTCAGTGTCTAGAGCCAACCTTGACCATGGACAGCTGCTTTAGCCAGCTGTGGCTCTCAGAATCATCAGTCTTGCCTGATCCTGATTTTGAGCTCTGATTTTTTGCACTTGTGTTTCTACCTCATTCTCCAGATTTGTGCTCTAGATTTCAGCAAATGGTTTCTCTTTTTCCATATGCCTGAGTCCATGAACTTTTAACACTGAGCATTGCCCGTAGAACCCTAACTTTCACATGGTGTTTTACAGGGAGGTAGGGTACATCAGGGGGGCTTGGGGGCCACCATGTAAGAAGGGGTGGTGTCACAGGTGGAGCCCTCAGTCCTTCTTTTCAGAGTGCAATGCAATATTTCACTTTGGGGGGTGGTTCTACAGCTATCTTTATTTTAGTTAGAATACCAGTTCCTTGGACCCTCCGGCATTTGGGCTCTGCCTATATTTCCCAGTCTCCTCCCTGCATTGCCCTTCAAGACTTGAAGTCCTTTCCCTGAACCTAAGCAGTGATTGAGGCTCTCTACCAACTTTCATGATGCTATCTGCCTGCTGGGTTGCTTGTACCTAGTTGTTGTGTCCTTCACGTCCCCACCTGTTGGGCCACTTCCCTGACACAGACTGCTGCTCTCCTGACCACTAAACGTTGTCTGTCATTGACCCTCTGGAGACCATGTTTGGTTGCTGAATCCAACTCTTACTACTCAGCCTCAGTTAGGGGGGAGATGGGTTTCTGGTTCCATGTCCCAACGCCAACTCTACACTTCTACCTTGTCCCTACTTATCCAAGTCTGAAAATGTGGCAAAGCAGTGCCCTCCAAGCTCTGGCCTGGCTTACATCTGTTTTTTTCTTCACTCTGACATTTCTCTGACTCCATGGGGGATCCTAGTTTTATTTGTAAAGTTTAAGTTTAGAATAGCCAACCCAGTTACATTTATTACTTATATTATATCTTCTTTCCAAAAAGTTCTTGTGGAAACTGTAACCAACTAAACTAAAATGAGATAATAATTTTTAAGAATCAGAGAAGAATTTACTAAATCTATTTAGAATAATATAAATCAATATGTTTTAAATTGATGATAAAGTGCCAGTGAATCTAATAATTAATGAATTCATATGCAATCATGTATACCTACTAATGGATTACAGA